TTTTTTTTTTTTTTTTTTTTCTAAAGACAGACATTCTAGAATACTCTGAAAAACTTTTTCTGGAGAATCGATAGGCAACCTGCGTTGGCAGCTGACGAAATGTATCGAACTGGTCGCGACGCGTGTGTCCGAGATGGAAGTAAAACCCCTCCACGGTACGTCCGACTCTCTGCGACTGGACCGCAAACTACAGTTAAGCGCAAAGAGCATAAAATGAGAATCGAGAAGACGTGCGTGCAGAGTGGATCGTAAATAAAATCCTTGTCTCTCCGTGTCGACGCGTCTCAGCGGTAAACTAGAGATAGGCACGCTCAAAAGGGGACGTCGTTCCTCTTCTTCGAGGAAACAATCGAAGTTACGTCGTTCTGTTGCGTGCATCACGAGCTCTCGAAGTCGAGTCCGATTCCTCTGAATCGGTTGAAACGATCTTTGGTCGTGCACTTTCATCGTGGAATCTTTCTCTTACGTTGGTTCTTTTCTTCTTTGAAATATTCGTTCATCGTATCTTGTCGAAGGAGAAACGAGAAATTAGGGTTTCTCGAGTTTGATCTCGGAAAGAGACGACAGAGAACATAGATCTTGACACGGACCATGCTTTCGGGCATTGTTAATTATTAATACGTATGACGATTGAAATTAAAAATCTCATCCAGTTCCTTGTATTTTTGTTTGCAATTGAATTCTTCGCGAAGTTAGAAATTATAGTAGCGTCTGTTTTTGAAGCAACGAAGCGATCTTCCATCTTCTTGATGATCTTCGTGAAATTTCTCTCATCGTTTCCCTTCTCGAACCTCGAAATCGTTCAATTATTCACGAAGCTGAAGTAACGAAATGATCTTTGATCCTCTTGATAACCTCTTGGAATTCATCTTATTTTTCTCCCCCTCTTTCTTCGTTTTTTTAATATATATCACATGAAGTTCTTCGCGAATCTGAAAATCTTCGTATCTCTCTATGAAATAACGAAATTTTCGATTTTCAATCTCGTTCAGTCGTGAAATCTTTGTTATTCCTTTTTCCTTTCCTGTTTGATTACCATGAACGAAGAAAGATCTTTATCACGATCTTTATTACTTGTTCCCTCGTTATTCTCTGAAATTTATTTAACAAGCATGACACGTAGAATGGTCCTTAAAATTTCAGTAAGATGAGGAACGTTGAGAACAGCAGTTTCTTAACGTAGTTAGTTGAAATCATTCGTGACTATTCCTCTTGCTGTTCATCTTAATCTCGTAGATTGACTCTGATCATCAGTCTATTAATGTTCTTCGTCTTAAAATGGAAGATTTAATATTTATTACGAATATATTGACTGAAACCAGTTATATATATATATATATGTATATTGCATATCTTGTTCAAAGAGTCGTCAATCACGAAGAAACAGAAAACTTTGCGTCGAAGATAGTTTCATACATATTTCCAACACATTAACATCCATCGTCTACTTCAGAACGAATTGTGAAAATACATCTGTTGCCAGATGTATTGAAGCTGTTCCTAATTGCTCGTCAGGCCGTACAGCACTGCAATCCGATGGAAAAGCGTGGACAATCGCTGCTTGAGAATCTGGTCGACCGCATACCGTGTCAATACTCTCACACCGCTGACGAAAACAGGAAGCAGCGGAATCAGTTGATCGTCCTGTGAAAAATATTTTTAACATCGCACTTTAGATAAGATAAGACTCCGATTTGTACAACAAGAAGTTTCAAATCAAGCCTCGCGGCAGAATTTTTGTGAAACGGCACTTCCGACTGCGAGCTGTGAAAAAAATAATCTTGTAAAATTTTGTTCCGCTCGAAGCTGATTTCAAATATTTATGTGAAATCGATATTTTCGTTTAATCATCGAGATATTACGATCGACGTTTTAATTAGTCAGAAACTAGATGATTTAATTTCTTAAATTTATAGTAGCTCCAAAAATTAGAATCTAAATATTTAATTAAAATTCTTCATATTTGGTCAACATTTACCTGGTTGCGTATCACTTTTCTCATTCTCAGTTATCAAATTTATTTCGTTTCAAGGAACGTTAATCGTTTGTATTTTATTCAAAACAGATAATGTTTCATATATTTTGTGAAAAATTATATAAACACACAATTTAAAACTTATATATTGTAAAACTCTGTAAAATTTTGTACAGCGATGGACGAAAGACAGTTTAAGAGGTAAATGATATATACTATATTTTTAGATTAAATGTAAAATATACCTCAGAATAGATTTCTGTTCTATCACTATGACGACGAATATATTATTTAGAAAATGAAAATAAGATATTTACTACAACATTTAATCAGAATATAATATCAATTATGAATTTTTTTTCGTCCGCGCGAAATAGTACAGCTCACATCTGAAACTGTCATTCACAAAAGTTGAAAAATAATTTGAGACAATTTGTACAACTTACAGACAAAGCCAGAGTCCAGTCCAAAATCGTGCTCAACATCTCGGCCCAGGCGTTCCTGTGAGCCTCGCTGTCCTTGCAGACGTTGTTCTTCCTGCAAAACACCGACTCCCGGCTTGGCGATTCTTCAGTCTCCGCGTTAGAGTCTTCTCCATCCTTTCTCAAGAACGGATTCGTTCTAAATCCTCGCTTACTGCGTTCATAGTCACGCAGCAACTCATCTATGTTGTCAAAAATCTTCGGCAGATCGTCCTCCTCTTTTATCCCAACTTTCGAAGAGACACGCGAGGACATCTCGAAGTCATTCGACGACCCGGACACGGTAGATCCAGCCACAGTAGATCCAGCTCTCTTTCTCAGTTCCATCACCGATCTACATCGGATATTACCAGAGCTAAATCTCATGAATTTCTCCGAGTCGTCGATGCCGATCGGTTCGACAAATCTCAGGGAGCTCTTCCGAGTCAACAAGCAAGCATCGCTTCTTCTTCGCTCCAGTCTCGATTTCCTGAACAGGTCGATCTCGTCGTACGTCAGGCCAGTGCTCGTTGATTTGATCTCCAGAACGGAAGTGCCGAACGAATCCACAGACTCTGTTCTTCTCAGCGTGCCTGTGAACTTATAACACAAATTGTCCCTAGCGTTGATCAGTTGCAACGACGCCGGTGTAGTTGAACTGCACTTTCCGTCTATGTATCCCTCGCTCGAGGTGCCGCCAGATCTATCCGGATACACAACTTTCTCCGTGACGGAACCCAACCTAGAAACTGGTCTGGAGTCGTCAGTCTCTGGCTCGGACTGTGGACCCGAGTCAGTGGAATACTCCACTGCTAGGTCAGACAGCCTGAAAGGTCTCGGATCGTCTTCACACTCCGGGCCAAGTTCCTCCAATCCACTTTCGTCGTCGAAGTTCGGATTGTAGTTCTCGATGTCCTCTTGATCCTCTTGATCCAGCTGATCTTCCGCGTCCTCTTCCGAATCTACAGGCAGTTCCACCGGCGCTGGCGTGGCTAGAGCTCTGTCGCCGATCGGCTCTTTGCAGGTGATCTCCGGGAAATCGTCCGGCTGCGCTACCAACAGAAATATCTTTCTCTCGGAGAAACTGTCCACTCTCGTGTGCCTTCCGTCCTCGTCCAGAACCACTTCCACGTAACTTTCGCAAAGTTCTTCGAAGATCGTTCGCAACTGTCGCAGATACTTGGCGAGCTTTCGCAGAGTGGCACTCTTGAGAAGCTCCTTGTCCTCGGGGCTCGAGGTGAGGATCGTCTTCACGACCTCCAGCGTTGCTTGGGTGTTCTCTATCTCGTGCAGGCAGAGCTCGAACAGCGTGATGATCTTGATCGTCCAAGCCACTCCGGCCTGACGATAGAGATTCGCTGGTTGAGGCAGGTTCGCTACCTTCTGGACTAGGAATTTTAATCCGGGACGACAGTCGAATTTTAGGGCTGTTGCATAGGACAGATCCAAGGCTGAGAGGAAGATGTCTATGTGGTGGCTGGTTAAACAAGACAGGAAGCCTGGTGTCACTGACTTCGGCGACGTGGATGCTGCCGATTGTGGTATGACCACTGACAAACTGCAACACAAGTGAAGTTTCTAGAAACGTTTCACGCAGTTTTGTACGTTTAACATGTTTGAGATTTTCATTAAAACTGATTCCAATTTAATTCCTATTGGGCATGACGCGGTTAACGAGATTATTGCACGTAAGTTTACTTCAATTAACTCCAATCTTTCGATCTACGATTTCTGAATAATAAATAGAAAACTGAGATTTTACAAATTTGAAAGTTTCTAAAAATTAATATAAATCAATCGTTTGTTCTGTATATCTCAATTTGCGAAAAGAAATGAAGTACTCGCACACACAAATCAATAGTTTTTCTTTCTCTTTAATTGTTTTTCCTTTCTCAGCGAATGTGTTAAGAAGAACGATTAGGAAAGCTTGTTATTTGTTGAAAAATATACGTACCTAGGATAGGACGAGTCAGGACCTTGCAAGAGTATACTGGCGATGCAATGAAGAAGCATCTGGTGGACCAGGAGGCCGACAACCAACGCTCTCAGCTGAACTCTAACGATATAAAGGTCGGGATTGAGTGTGGAACCCACCGATGGTGGATACAGGAGGAAAACGTAGGACCTGTCGTCGGATCTTCTCGAAGCATCTTCGCCGCGTTGTTCCTCCAGGAGGAACACCTGAGGAGACAAGAGTTTCCTTCAATTTCTACCCAACATCGATTCCAAATCCTTTCATCGCACGATTCTTCGTA